CACAGGTGCTGGCTGGAAGCAGGTAGCCACTGCTCCCCTTTCCCCTACCCGGGGGGTCTCATCCAGCAGCTGCAACTTCTCAAACATGCAAATCCCGCCTGCTCCATGCAAACTAGTCCCACGAGAACCTGAGAAGCCAGGCTGCCTGCCCTCAGGGCCCAACTGCCACTGTGATCACTGAGGTCCCCCTCCTCCACAGCAACCCTGGAGCTTGGCAACAAGATCTGAGTCAGCTAGAGACAGCTTCCTTCCCAAGCAACTGCTGATTCTTCTTCCCTGGGGGCCTTGGCATTCCCCGCTGGCTCTCTTGTCAGGAAGGGAGTCTGGGGGCAGAGGCTAGCACCGATGTGACTTTGGGGAACCCTGAAATATAGGAATGTTCATTGCCCCCTGCCATGGTGCTGGAGGCAGGTAAGTTCCCCGCAGGAACTCTTTCCTGGTCCACTCTTTAGTCTACCTAAGTCCCCACAGGTGCTGACCCCACCCCCACAAAGGTATTTCTAGTCCTCGAGGACCCACGGAGAGAGGAGGGACTGGACAGGAGCTCACCACAGAATTCCTGCTAAATTAGTTGTGGCTCCAAAGCCACCATCTCCTCAGAACTGCTGCAGCCCCAAGCCTTCATCCTGGACACAGGGTCCTGGTAGACAGCGCTCAGCCTTCAGTGGTGGGAGAAAGCAGGCAAGCATGGGTGGGGCTGGCTGCTGCATGGTGCCCTTCTGGCCGTGGCATCCAGGCAGAGCTCAGGATCTGGTACTGCTCCTGTGAACACCTGATACAGATGTGTCAGCCCTGTATCCCACCCCGGGAAAGGGTGAAGCACAGTGGTCCAACCAGTTCCCACGCAGAGGTGTCCAGTCTGTCATTCCCCATTTAACAGATTAGACACAAGGCTTTGGTGTCAGCACCTGACCCCCAACCCGTCACTCAGCAGCACTCAGAGTCCTGCTGCCTGCGAGCTGAGAGCAGAGGCCCTGGAGGAGTGGGAGTGTGGGCTCATGCTTGCAAGGGAGGCCTGGTCAAAGCGGAGGCCGAGGCACATGCCTGGCATGGCACGCCCTGTACCAGGAGGGTGGCCTAATGCTGGACAGCTCACTCTGCTTCCCACCCCTCCACCTGCTGGTAAAGATCTCATTGTTCAGCTCCTGTCCTCTCCTGGGGACTGTGACTGTCTAGTGCCTCAGGGATCTGAGGTGCGTTGATCATTGGGGCAGGTAAGCATGGCCCCATGGGCCCCTCTCACACCATTTTCAGCCATTGATGGCAGTTCCTAAGAAGGGAGCATCCCTGGACTGTTATGACCTCAGCTGGTCCCACGGTTCAGAGCTCTCTGACTTCCCCTTCGGAGATGGATATGAATATGCAGGTTCATAGCCATCTATGGCAGTGTTTCTCAACCTGTGGAATACAACCATTTCAGTGGTCACATATCAGATATTGACAGTATTATTTTTGTTGTTATTGGTTTGTTTTGTTTTTCAGGACAGGGTTTCTCTGTGTAGCCCTGGCTGTCCTAGAACTCGCTCTGTAGACCAGGCTGGCCTTGAACTCACAGATTCAACTACCTCTGCCTCCTGAGTGCTGGAATTAAAGAAAGGTGTGTACCACTACCACCTGGCTGTTTGTTTTTAAGATAGGGTTTCTCTGTGTAGTCTTGGCTATCCTGGAATTCACTCTTTAGACCAAGCTCAAATTGAGAGACTCATTGGCCTCTGACTCCTGAATGCTAGGACTAAAGGCGTGCACCGGCACCGCCCAGCTGTGTTGCTACTTCATAACTTTGTTGCTACTGTTAAGAATTGTAATGTAGGGGGCTGGAGAGATGGCTCAGTGGTTAAGAGCACCGCCTGCTCTTCCAAAGGTCCTGAGTTCAATTCCCAGCAACCACATGGTGGCTCACAACCATCTGTAATGAGATCTTGTGCCCTCTTCTGGCCTGCAGGCAGAGTACTGAGAATACTGTATACATAATAAATAAATAAATCTTAAAAAAAAATAATTGTAATGTAGGCTGGAGAGATGGCTCAGTGGTTACGAGCACGTACTGCTCTTCCAGGGGACTTGAGTTCAATTCCTGTTTCTTGAACAGTCTTGTCTGCCCACGTCCCACTTAGGGACCTAGGGCTGTCACGAGAGCCTTTAGTGCTTGCTCTTCTACTCGCCCAGCTGGTCAAGGCTGGTTGGGTCACAGAGGCCAGGTGAGGGATGGGCCTTCTCAGGAACAGAGCGGGAGCCCAAGAACAACAGGAACTGGGCAGGGAGGTGGCACAATTGCTTGTTTTGTCAGGAGGGCTGGGTCCCCGACCATTGTAGCTGCCCCCCATCTCCCAGACTCAGCTGAGAGCCCCCTCCCTGTCACCTAGCCCGCGTGGGAATGTCTCAGGCCAGGAGCTACCACTGAACTTAACTCCTCTCTCCCAGGGCCCAGTGACTTCTTGACAGGTTACAGCCCCAAAGATAAACAGATTCTGCCAGGCAAATAACTGTTCAGGAGCAGGGGTGCTGGGGATGATGACCCAGGTGACAGGGTGGGGTCCCTCCCCTGCAGAAAGCAAATAGCTGTTGGCACCTGGGAGGAAGCAGCGTCCTCACCTGTCACGGGTGAGGACACTTGTGGGGGTCCTGGGACAATATCTGAGGTGCTTCCTGGGAACTCTTGCATCAGCTCTTGGCACAGGGGAACAGCTCATTGTGAGGCCTATCTCCCCCAAATCTGTGTTTAGAGGTTCCCTGGGCTGCCAGGGGACACAGCCAGGCAGTTCTCTCCCCCATCCAGAGCTGTGAGACACAGGAGGCCCTTTTCCCTGAGTGTGCTCTCTACAACCAACCCAGGTAGCGATGGTAAGAACTTTCTTGAGACAGGGTCTCGTTCTAGAACGTTTGATCCTCTTGCCTCCACTCCCCACGTACTAGGATTATTACCGGCCAGATTCCAGCTCTGAACTCTGAAGTTAAGACTTGGCAGCATCTGCTCTCGACTGGCCACTGAAACCTTTCTGATTGCCTTGAGTTCCAAGGTCACGAAGCTGGCTCCTTGCTCATTTGCCAACTGCCTGCGGGGTGTTCCTAGCTCTCAGGTTTCCAGACCAGCCTGGAAACCTGTGCAGTAGTGAGCAGTGAGGAACACCCAGGAAAGATACCCAGCCACCATGGGAACCAAGTAAGAGGCATGCATCTTCCAAATCCAGGAAGCCAGGAGCTCAGGTGGAATAGGGAAGCGCTCTTGTCCCTGGCTTTTTTTTTTCCCAAGTGGATGAAGGCCAAGGTGCTGTCTCTAGCATTGCCCTCCGGCTGTGCTCGGCTGTGCCTGCTGGTTGACCAACCCAAGAGTGCTCTGGTGGCACACAGAGCATTTGGAATCTACCGTTTTAAGGCTGACTTCTTGTTAATCACTCTTACCTAGTGATTGTCCCTGGGCTGTGGCACTATTTTTGGGAGGTTGTAGAACCCTTAGGAACTGGGGCCAAGCTAGCTGAAACATCTCATTAGGCACGCGCCTTTGAAAGGAACAGGTCTGGCCGTCTGTCTGGGTCGGCCAGCACCTGCCATCCTACCACCCACCAGAGACTGAGCATCCTTGCTCAGGCCTCAAGCCCCCAAAGCCATCACAGTAAGTCTTCCTTCCCGTGTTGGGCACGGGCACAGCTATCCTGCAGTAACTAATACGGATCAGGGTTTGCTTCCCTCTGCAAGTGTGCACTAGAGCTACTGTGGGGGGCACAGGACAACAGGAGCTGAGGGTGCAATAAAACTCACACACACACACGAGAAAGTTTTTTTTGTGTTAATTTAATCATACAAATATTCATTTACATGGAAAGGAAAACCTCATCTTCATCTCCTACTAGGCACCACAAGGCCCCACCAGAACCCACCACTGTCCAGGTGGGAGGGGCAGCAGGCTGCTCCCACATTCACCCAAAGAAACAAGGGGTAACAGGGAAAGGGTGGGGACAGCACATTAGTCTGCATTTGTGAGCCCTGGCAACCCTCTCATCCTGCTGGGAGCTCAGGCTAAATTTGGGGGTCTTTACACTCATGTCTACTTCCCACCTTGGCCACCAGCTGTGTTGGTGAAAAGTGTCTGGGTTATGGTTACAGCCAGTCTGTACAGGAGGAGAGGAAGCTGTTTTAGTAGAAAAATGCCCCAAATTCAATTGTCCCCATGGCAAAAAGAAAACAGGCATGCACACGTGCACACACACCTACACATACATACCTCACTCCACACAGAGATTCTTCCCAAGTCTGCGCTCCACCCCTCATTTCCCCACTGGGGTCAGGCCCTTTACCACCTGAAACCTGGTGTCTGCCTCACCTCGTGGGTGCCAGACCAGGGATCCTGCCAAAAGGCGGCCTAGTGCACATGAAGGCTCTAAGGGACTGCAGAAAGAGTGAAACCCGGGAAGCCATGGATCAAGGATTGCACCTGCTCTGGCCTTCTGAATGAGCTACCTCTCATGGATACACAGACAGGACTTGGTTGTGGGAAGGAAGCCAGGGTACCTGAGCCATTACATTTTCCAGGTGAGGTTGCTACAAGCGGGAAGGGGCACAAGAAGGGAAGGACACTCGGTGGCAGTGGCCCACAATGTCCTTGCTGGAACACTGAGAAAGGAAGGTATCTAGTAGGGGACAGATGGGGAAGCCAGAGAGCCAGGGTTGAAGCCTCTCATGATTCCAAGAGGGCAGCTGGAGACGCGCTGCTCCAAGGCCAGGAAGCAGAAAGAATAGGGCATGCGTGTGCTTTAGGGTGGCAGTGTCCTTAGGAGAATGGGCCTAAGAAGGCCCTCAGACAAAAGCCCCCTGAGATTTGTGGCTTGGGCACCTGTTAGGGGCTGCCTTTGGCTCAAGGGTCCAAGTGTGCAGAGGAAATAGGGTCCCCGAGAAGCCCCAATTTACTGGAAAACCAGCTACAATACCCTTCTCCATGGCCTTCTCCACCTGCCCAGGGACTTCTTCAATGAAACAAAGCTTACTGTTGGCTGCTTTTTTGGGACATGAAAAGGTGAGGGGGGATTTTCGTACAAGCTTCTTTCTTTCACAATCAAGTGTTTAAAATCAAATAGTCTCAGAAGAGAATGAGGAGCAACAAACAAACACCACACACTTGGAACTCAAACATCCAGACAGAGACAGACCGGCAGTCCTGCACCCACACCCAGGCTAACGAACCTCACACCCTGGTCTCCCTGATCTGCTCACAACCCTGGAGCACATGGGGGCTGGAGGCAGGCAGGGGACCTGCAGCCACACAAATCCACATCCCAGGCTCTCTCATCACTAACTTAGGGAAGGAGGGGTTAAGAAGAGGGACTTTGCATATTCTTGTATCTTTGGCAGTCAGCTGTTCTAGCCTGGTTTAAGATTCCCATGGAGACATCCATATTTCAGCCTGCTTGGAGTTCATGGGACATTAGTGGGCACTGCACCTGCCCAGGGAGCAAATGCCTATACTCCGGCTGGGCTGCAACTTGCCACCCCAAACTAAGCAACCTCTGCCAGAGGAGGTCTTTTTATTTCCGCCTGACTGTGGCCTCTCAGGCAGTGGTCAGCAGCGGGGCTCCCAGCTGGGGCAGTATTATCATTCTTTCGTAGCTCGGACTCCACTAATAGGTCATGAGAACGTCACAAGGACATGTGGGGGGACACAGGGAGGGAGCTGTGTGATAAGAGAAGCAGGGCACAGTTCACACTTGATGAATTACAACCCTGTGTGCATGAAGCACAAGCACACACCCCGAGAGAGCGAGGGAAAGATGGGCCACGGCATGAAGGGCCACACTCCCTCTGCCAAGAGAAACACGGGAGGAAGCAGTCCCAGCTGTCACAAGTGTGCAAAAGGACACCTGCCAGACTGTCCTCCAGGCTTCTGCTGGCCACACAGGAAGTCTGGATTCAGAGAGTGCTGCTGCTAAGAAGCCCCAAGGCCGACAGATACAAATGTCCAGGGTGTAAATCAAGAGGAGACTGAAAAGAGAGGAAAGGTGATATCTTATCGGCAGATGCCACTAAGAACAATTGAGGTCAGACTGTGCAGCCAGGTGGGGGCGGGCACAGCACGAGCCTAGCAACGCTGACTGGCAGAGTCCCCAGACATGCCACGCCAGCCTCACCACACTGTGAATGGCTTCCAGAGCAAGCACTGCTCTGTAGAGCACGCCGTCCTCCACTTAAAAGAAACACCGGGAAGCGGGGAAGACTAACATGTGCTCAGAACTACAACCTCTCTGTAGGCAAAATAATTTTTGTTTAAAAAGATGGCTTATTTTCCCCCATTTTAAATCTCTTCCCCTTCCCAAATGACCTAACAACTCATTAGACTGACGTCATCACCCAAACCCAAGGTGGCTGCGAGGATTTCTTCTTGGTTGCCAACACCATTCCTGCAGTTCAGCACTCACACATGCATACTGAGCTCACTCAAAACTAGTCTTTCTTCCTCTTCTTCCGTGATTGGGGGGGTGGGTGGGGGTTTGAGCCAGGGGTCCGTGCGATGTGCTTGCTCTGCAATCCAGAGGAACCCCTCACCCTCTCCCCCCAAAGTCAGGCCTTCTGTCTTTTGTTAACTTTTCTTCTTGCTGAGACCCGTTTAAGACTGGCCGAAGGGGTAAGGCCCGTGGAGCCCCTGGAAGAGAGTGAAGACAGTCAGTGATGAAGACACCAGTACCGCCTCGTCAGCAAACCCAGTCCCACTCAGAGCTGTAAGGGTCACAAGGATCAGGATGAGCCCAGCTGCGAAGTTTCCCACTGAATCCCAGCAGCCTCAGAGAGGAGAGGTGGGAGAGACCTGCTCCTGTGACAGGAAGTTCACCTGATGCCCACTTTCTCCCAGCCAGGCTGCAAAACTTCATATGTCCTCACAACGGGTTCTGAGACCTCTCCACTGCAAGATGATGCAGAGGATGAAGACGATGCGGCCAAGCCCGAGGACCCGAGTTCAATGCCTGGACTCCCCACGGTCCCACAAGCTGTCCTCTGACTCTGACACATGCACACGCTGTGGCATACACAAAACAAATACAATAAAAAGTTCAGCAACTGCTGTTTCCCAGCATCTGCCCCACGCTGACGGCCCTTAGGGCTGCTCTCTTCCCTTGGCAGCTGCTAGGAGGTGGAGCTCAGGACTGAGCACCAGTGAGCTGTCCCTCCTACCACATTGCAAATGCACAAGCTGCTTACTTTCTTTGTCCTTTGTTTTGCTTAAGACAGGGTCTACTACGTAGCCTGGTATGGACTTGTTCTTCAGACTGATTTATAAGGGTATGTACCTCCATGAGCTTATGCACACCACATGCAAGCAGGGGCCGTTGGAGGCCAGAAGCAGGCGCTGGGTCCCTTGGAACTCAAGTTACAGGTGAGTGCTCGCAAGCAAAGTGTTCTTGCTGAGCCACCTGGCCAGCCCTTGGACTGGAATCCCAATCCCTTCCCTCAGCCTCCCAAATGCTGGAATTATATATAGGCCCCATCCCCAAGGCACTTTCTGTGTTCTTTGGATAAGTGGTAAAGACTTCCATCTCACCTTCCCTATGTTAAGAACAAAACTCTAGGGGGCTGGAGAGATGGTTCAGAGGTTAAGAGCATTGCCTGCTCTTCCAAAGGTCCTGAGTTCAATTCCCAGCAACCACATGGTGGCTCACAACCATCTGTAATGGGGTCTGGTGCCCTCTTCTGGCCTGCAGGCATACACACAGACAGAATATTGTATACATAATAAATAAATAAATAAATATTTTTTTAAAAAAAGAACCAAACTCTACTGGGCAGTGGTGGCACACAGCTTTAATCCCAGCACTTAGGAGGCAGAGGCAAGCTAATCTCTGAGCTCAAGACCAGTTCGGTTTACAGAGAGATCCAGAACAGCCAGTGCTACAGAGAAACCTTGTCTTGAAGAAAAAGCAACCCTCCCCACAAAAGAAAGAGGAGGAAGAGCAAACTCCACAGTAAGTCAGCACCAGAACCAGCACAGGACTGACATGTCTCCCCTTTCCCTGGGTGGACTCGCTCAAAGCAAAGGTCCAAAAGGACAGCTACACCAGGGTCCTGGACTCCACCGCGGGCTAGCAGCAACAGATCTCCATGGAGAACACTCGAGACCAGGCCATCCCATGAGTGGTCAGAGGGAGCTAACTGGTGCTTGGTATCCATCCAAAGCACCCTAATCTAAATATGACCCACAATGGGAAAAAATATGGGCGAAGAGCTTTCAAAGGTCAGCGTGCTTTAAATAATTAGGGCCATTCTTTAACAGAACTGTGGCTACAGCGGAGCCAGGATGGCGATTTTATGTCCCAGGGTGGTGCCTGGCCTTAAGGGGTGAACTGGTAACTGAACAAGGACAGGTACTGCTCAGGACACCTGGAATCTCAGATTCCCATAAGTCAGGCCCTTCTAAAGCTGGTTCTGTTGATCAGTTTGAGGGGACACAAGTGCGGGACCACCCATCAGTCTGTCAACGTTGTGGAGGCTGGGGGTGGGGGTGGGACTAGTGGAAGACACAACCCTCCAGTCACCAGTGGTGCTAGATGTTCCCCACTCTGCATGTGCATGTGACCCCAGAGGGCACTCCCCCCCCCAACCTGACTCTTCCATTTTCCAGATTCTGGGAGCTGACACAGTGTCGGGCTAAGAAGCTGAAAACCAGTATCCCAAGAAAAATACCATCTGAGGCCAGAGCTACTAAGAATGGAAACATGAAGTAATGATTTTTCTCCCATTGCAAAGTACTGAATAACAGAAGTATGGTATGTCTCTACCTGCTTGACAATATCACTGTGTGTGTGTGTGCATGCACACACGCATAACCAACAGACACGATGGGGAGGAAGGGAAGGCAGACATTGGGCATCAACTATTCACAGGTGCTGCAGTAGCACCGGACAGACACATGAATCTCTAGTACATGAAGAGGAGTTGTTTGATGTTTAGAAAGACTGCGGGCCCTTGCACCAGTAGGCAAATGAAGGCTGCAACTACTCTGGCAACCACCGCTGCAGCCCCTGGTGGCTCTGCCAAACACGAGCTCTCAGACTCCATCTCATGGGCTTTGATGGGAGGCTCCCCTGCACCAGCAAGAACACAGAGCTGAAGGCAAGCCGCTTTGACTCAACACTTCCAGGCAGCAGCTACTCGCCCAGAACGACCCACGACCCAGGGAGGTAGCTAGACTGGGAACCAACACACTCACTCACAGGGGAAGGAAGAGCAGGCAGTGCTTGTTTCTGATGAGGAACCTCCCCAGCCCTCTCCACAGTGTGTGCAGCCTTCCCAGGCCCGTGGCTTGTCTAGGAATATGTAATAAGGGAGCATGACTTTCAAACAGCTGCCCCCCCCCCATTTAATAGAAAAGGTGAGATTTATGCACTGGGCAGGGACAGGGATAAAGAAGTGCATTCTCAGAACTCCACCTGTTGTGGGACCCTCAAGACCACCCAGCGTGACTCTAACTGGCTTAATTTATGGTTATCCTTGGCTCTCTAACAACTGAGGTTCTATGTCTTCGGGAAAGAAAAAGCCATGAAATTCTCCTTCCAACAAATAGTAGTGTACCAAAGAGCTGCTATTAAGTGGTGCAGGGAGGGGCTTGAGGAACAAGGTCTTTTCCCTCCCGAGTGGGGTTTTTTTTTTTTTTTTTTTTTTTTTCCCCCAGACAGGGTTTCTCTGTAGCTTTGGAGCCTGTCCTGGAACTAGCTCTTGTAGAACAGGCTGGCCTCGAACTCAGAGATTTGCCTGTCTCTGCCTCCCAAGTGTGGTGGAATTAAAGGTGTGAGCTACCACCGCCTGGCTCCTCCTGAGTTTTAACTACCATCACGTGGGAGGGAGGGAGGGAGGGAGGGACCAGCTGTTTCAAAACCATGTTGTGACAGAGACTCCCTGCATGCAGGGTTGTATGTGTCATGAGCAGACCACAGACCACAGGCAACACTACACCAGTGGCAGAGGAAAGTCAGCCAAAGGTTCCAAGAACAGTGTGTTAAACGGCCTGTGGCAGGAGGCCAAATGGGAAGTGCTTTTCCTACCCGAGGCACAGGAGAGACATTCCGAATGCAAGACTCAGCGCATCTCAGAACAGGTTCTGGTAGCCAGGTCTGCAGCAGGTGGCCCACTGCTGGCGTCTAGTGACACACCTGCATCTCACCAATCTATCTGGACTGGGATGGATCATGGTGTCTCCACTTCTCCAGCACCAGGACTCGGCACACCACTGCACCCAGTTTTTATGTGGGTGCTTGGGACATTGGGTAGTTTCACAAGTCACTGAAGTGTGCATTTTACCCACTGAGCTGCCTCCTGAGCTCCAGCTTTTGCTTGTAGGAAGAGGAGAAGCCAGACTCTTCCTGGCCTGTAGAAGTGACAGAAGATGGTACTGGAGAGATCAGAACTCAACTCTGACCCAAACAAAAATGAATCCAGTGAGGTATGGAAAGCCACCTTCCCAACCAAGGCTGCCAGGACACCAACCCAGTGAGGAACTTTCTCATTGAATTTAGATCTATGCCTGCCAGGAAGGAACACTTAGGCCTGCAGTAGCTGAGTGGACTCTTCCCAACCTCAGTCTTGCAAGGCTTTGGAAAGAGCAGCTGCCAAGGTTGTGGGCAGCCCAAGCACACATTAGCCAGAGAGCAGGGGGTGAGGTGCTCCAGTCGGCTTGCAAGGAACACAACCAGTCACGCGGAGGGAAGGGATGATTCTGCACCACTTCAGGTGAATGAACGAAGTGACTGCATCAGGTCCTGGCTGGTCTGTCCATAATGCAATGTTAACTACTGTAAACCACGAACAGTATTTCTAAAATACTTTATTGTGTATAAACAAGTTCACTCCAACTCATCTTTCTTTTCCAAGAACAATGTGAGATCTAGCACGTGGCTGCTGAGGTGCATGGTGGTAGCATGACCCTCAGGGGCTGTCCAGGGTCAAGCCCTAGGAATATTTGAGGAAAAGATCTAGTATTTCCGAGCAAGTCAGCAAAGCAAACCCAACATCAACTGTCTCTGACATCACGATGCTGGCCCTATGGGGCAGCAAGATTTACTGCTTGCCTATGAGTGTCTTCTGTGAGGGGCACCTGAAAACACAGGAATCCTGAAACATGGTGGGAAAAAAAAACCAAAAAGACAAAAACAAAAATCACTCTTGGCCAAAAGGGGTGTATCCGAATGTGAAATGCTTCTCCTGAGAAATGTTATGGACTCCCGCAACCAGACTTTGGAATATCTCTCTCTATGTACATGATGAACTGGCTGAGGGGTGGAACCCAAACTGACCACCATTTATTTATATCTCGTGTGTGGCTTACTCTTGAAGGTAATTTTATGCAGTGTTTGACAATTTTTATACGAAACAACAATTCCTGATATAGAACTTCCCATGTGAGGAATCCTGTTGGTATTCAGAAGTCTCCGGTTTTGCATTTCTGTACTAATAGTCACTAGTAGTCACCAGGAAAGCCACACTAATTGTGCAGCAAATACACTAGAACGAGCTTTGCTTCTTTTTGTCTCTCCTCTCAGTCCCTTTTCACAGCAACCATTACCACACTCCGCCCACGGAGCCCATCCCACCTACATCTTGTACTAAAAATGAATAAGAAAAGCTGTGCTGGGGACTCAGCTCTTGTCTTTTATC